TTTAGACTATAACTGTAAAGAGAAGAATTGTTTGTATGCATTAGTTACAGCAGCATAATGGCTTACATACAAGTGTTTATCCACATGTAGTTCCAAAAAGATGACTACAGTACTGGCAGTAGGAAGAATCGGTACTGCCTTGGAGGAAGACTCGGGATAAGATATTATTCAAGTCAAGTTGCATCAGAGCCAAAGAATTTCATAGGCTTAGCAAAAAAAGGACAAAAATTAAGAAATATAATCTACACATATTTCTTGTAAGATTTATCATTGTCCAGGAACATAAATATTCATTATTCTGAAGGCACTATCACACAAAAAAAGGACTAACACAACATAAAAAACAGGACACCTCCCCTACACACACACACACACACACACACACACACACACACACACACACACACAGCTTGCTCCTCAGGGAGCTGTGTTAGCAAACATCAAAGAGCATGAAGTGGGCTTCTCAGGAACTAAGTCACACTCACCAAGCCACATCTGAGGGTTATTAATTGGAACAGTAGGAATGAAAATATGAAACTGAAAATACAAATAAACCCCATTAACTGAATAGACATATGTGGGAATACAGATCCACCATACAACAAATATGCCAGAACGGGTGATCCAAAGCAACACTGTGGAAAGACTTTCCAGTGTTTCTACATACAAGTACCTAATTCCTGACATGTTCTTAAAAAGGAAGAGTCCTGAACTGCTAAACAATCTGTCTTTTAAAGACTTAATCTCTCCCAATCATTTTAAATAATGGCTATTTCATGAAGAAGAAAAAATACCAACAAGGCACCAGGATCTTTTGGAGATATTCTGTAAGTAGGTCAAAAGATTATTTATAGAAATTGTACACCAGTGTAAGCATTTCATGTTCTTTTGTACATGTGAACAAGACTATTCGAAGGGTTAAATGTTTCATAGGGAGTTGATACTGTTCATGAAAAACAATGGCAATCCTAATAAGCCTTAAAAACAAGTGTACATGACCCTGACCAGGTGGCTCAGTTGGTTGGAGCATCATCCCATACACTGAAAGGTCATGGGTTCCATTCCTGGTATAGCATGTACCTCGGTTGTGGGTTTGATTCCCAGTTGAAGTATATACCTAGATTGTGGGTTCAACCAATTGCTGTGTCTCTCACATCCATGTTTCTCCCTCCACTTCCCTCCCTAAAACCAGTAAACACTTCCTTAAGTGAGGATTTCTTTAAAAAAGCATTATGTACTAATAAGAAATCCAGACTAAAACTTATTTTTTCCTTTTTCTATCTTAAATTTGGAAATTGTCTCTGAAACAGGTTCCTAATGATATTTTTATTTTTTTCCTTGTGGAAAAAAAATGAAATAATCTCATTCGAGAACAAAAAAAAAAAAAAAAATCTATGTTCACAGAACTAACATACTTAATTCTGTGATGGTTCTTTGGCGTGAGTGTTCTATATATCAGTGGTCCTTACTCACGTGTGTTAAGAAATTGTAGTTAGAAGAGAACCAGAGTGCTCATTCTTTGTGGATCTTCCAAGATTCAAAAGGGGAATACTTCAGATTCACAGGAGACTAACAACCTCCTAGGAATATAATACTGATTTAAAAAAGAATTAGAGGGATAAAACCTACTTAATAACATACTCAGCCATAAAGAGATTTAGTTATATTTAGGTTGCTCATGATTATGCTTCATTAATAAAATAAAATTATTTTTGTTTTCAAAATTAGTGAAATCAGTGAAAATATGAATAAGTAAACCCAGGAGAAAAAACCCTTATGCATACAGACCAACAAACAGCTTCGCACTCCCTTTGAAGAAAGAAAACTCTCAGACCCAGGTCCATTTTATTAATAATATAAGTTTCTACAATCTGTTGACATTACAAGTAGTTTTTACAGTTAAATTTCATACTAACGACAAACACTGTTTGGCTTAAGAAGCAGAAAGCTGAGTAATTCACATCCTCCATGTCAGACACTGAATTTCAATACTTAAAAAATATTTTATGCTTTCTGAATTTTAGCATCAAAGTATGTGTTGTTTCTCTTTTAGGAAACTGAAAATTATAAATAAAAAAAATAAATGAATATATACTGTCACATGGCTCATTTGGGAACAGGAAGCCTTGGGCAAAGTGAAGCTTCCATAACTTATGAAGCCAAAGGCGATTCTGGATTCTCAGTCCTAACTGGCATTCGCTACTTTTGGCTTTTATCTCCACCCTGGGCTAAGCCCTAATTAAATCCAAAGTTGCTAAATATTCAGTGGTAAACAAAAAAAACTATTAAAGCTGTCTTTAGTTCCTATCTCAGTGTTTCTTAGAATGTAGATACTCTTTCCACGGTATTCCATTTTGACTGCCGCAAGCACCAGCACATGCGGTTTGTGAATCAACTCCTAATACATAACCATTTGCGTTCCGCATTATATAGCGTAGATGCTCGGCAAGCCCAACCCCATTTGAACAGCCAAGATTACACGCTTCAACTTGGGGCTACAAAGCTTCCCTGCTCAGCAATGGGTAAGAAGTTGTAGTTATAAAAGAATAAAACAAAGGAAAATCTCTGGAGCCAACATGCACAAAGGAATTTTAAAAAATGCAAGCCAGGACTTTACGGTTACTGGGAATCTGTAAAAGAGGTGTCCTCAGAGCCATCTGTATCTGGTTTCCTGTACACACTGATGGACGCTCTTCCGTTACATTTGTTTTACGAAATACAGAAGGCTTCCAGCTTCATAAGGAACTTTTAAGTAACTATACTATACATATTAATTTAAGCATTTAGGAAGAAAACTCAATTCCTCCTAAGAGAAAAGGATTTAATTCTCTTTCTTTATAGTAATATGCTGGGTACAATAAACATGTGGCTTTTACAATTCTTACTAAACTAGAAAAGTTCAAGTTACTCAGCACAGGACTAAATTCACTTTTGTACTATAAATTGCACCAAACATTAAGGCAAGTTACTCTAAGGGTCAATAAAGTCTGTTCCTATTGAGTCTTTAGTATTCAATGTCATTTCTCACTAGCAGCTAGTACCCATTCCCACTAAAACCCCAATCCAAATGTGATATCAATCAAATAAAATATTAGAAATATGACTAAGACCAGCCAGTGTTATGTAGTACTGAAAACCAAATACTGAATTTAAAATTTTAAATAAACTCATTCAAAATGAGTTAGGAAGCCTCACAGAAACAGTATTTTCCAGGCTTTAACTTTTATGAGGCCATTTTCAGAGATTTCAGAAATACAAGGCAAGGTTTAAGTGGTTCTTGCAGTCAGGAACTTAGCTCTCCACACACGTAAGTATATGCAGCGGCACTTCTCAGAGCTGGGTATGAAAGTGGGGAGAAGGTTTCTGATTTACTAAGTCAGAGTGAAACTGCACTGATGAGTGCTCATGTGTTTCAAAATGATCCCAACTACAAAACGTGGTCATCATTATAAAACCGACTGGGGCATCCTGCAAACATGGGAGAAAGAAAACAGACATAAATCACTGATTTCCACAGGTTCATGTAGAACAGTGAACACAGCAATTCCAGGGGTTACGGTTATAGTTTCCTAATATCAAATACAGAATTTCTGAGGTTGTTGAAATCTGAACTCCCTGGGAAAGAATGCTATAACAATCACGTGCAAATAAAATGATCTGCTTATGAATCTGTTTTATTTTTAAAAATTACTCAGAAACATGTATACACTCCAGTGAGATATTAGTACCATATTAAATTTTACATTTTGATTACCGATTAGAGAAATCACCTTCATGAATAGATGCATTTTATAAAGCTGTTATTTTATTATAATTCTAGAGGCAAATAAAATGTAATTTCCTCATAAAGTATCCAACTATTTCAAACATCAAGGGCTTTAAGCACAGATCTGCTGGGAATTTTATATTTAAAAATAAATCACCAATGTAGAGAAGCAGCTTCTAATATATCAATATTTTGTTTTTGTTGTTAAAGTAATATTTAATTTTTATTTGCTTACAGATTTTAAGTTTATTAGTTTGAGGCCAATTTTATTAATTAAAAATTATTTATCATCTTGAAGTCTTAAAAATACCATTTTGTCTATTTTTAATTTCCTGGTTAAGGCTACTTCAGATATAAAATGTATCAAACTGCCCAAAAATACTCTGGAGCTGTTGCTACATAGACAGTGTGTCCTTTTACAGGATCATCTGCATTTTGACCTACATTATCTGATTAAATATTAATTTTAAAAAATTATCAAAAATTAGAATCCATCTCAAAATGTGAATCATGAACCTTGACAGTGATTCAAAGTAATGATTTCATGTATTTTAATATCCAGAATTGAATGTAAAAATGTTTGCTAAATGTGATTAATGTCCTATTATTTAAGAAATATATTTCAAATTTTTGATTATGCTATGTGTATTAAAACATTACAGTTTTTTAAAATTTAGGTTAAACCAGTAATTCAAAAAAGGCAAACCATAATTAAAAACTAAACTGAAACTTTACTTTTACATGAAAATGTAGCATGTTGTTTGGGTTAACTGAAAAAAAAAAAAAAAAAAAGATTTATCATTGAAACTGTTGAGGCTTTCACATTCAATAGTTAAATGACAACTGTGTTTCTTTAGCCAAACAATTCCTGGAACTGGAGATCTTAAATGCAAGGAGTCTCCCTTCTTTCCTAATGCAACTTCTGCCTTTCAGCAACAGGAATGTGAAACCACAAACATCAGGATTCTAAGTTGATTAAAGGCATTCATTTCATAGTAAACCTGTTCTTCACATACAATGAGCAATAAGTCAGCTTTTCTTATAAAACATATTATGAATGAAATAAGATATAACAATAGGTTATCTCAGTGATACAAATACAACTCATACTTCAGTAGAAACAGAAATAGAACAAAAACACTTCCCCAAACAGAATAATTTGTATATTGATGATTTGAAGTTTTATAATTGTATACTAATTAAAAAGAAAGGGTAGGCCAACCACCTTACAGAACTAAAAGCATCCCGAGTAACAGATTGCCAATACTGTTTCACGAGTATCCTCCCTTAATGGCCTATTCACACTAGAATGCACTCTAAAACATACATGTGCATCACTCCTCAGTGGAATTCTTCCCAAGATATCTGCTTCCCAGATATGTTCTTTTAAAAAAGAGGCTAGGTAAGCATTAGATGACACTAAAATCTGCCTTTGTTCAGAAGAAACATCAATACAAAACAGCTGGCAGCATCTTCCTCTGACATAACAACTGGCAGACTTACTAAAATCTGAAATGATAACCAAATGAGAGAGACTTAGGAACACCATCTGTCAATCCACAAATGCAGAAACAAAACAAATTACAGAATGAAACAAACTTATGTTAAACCAACAAACACATGTAGCCAAAATATAGTCCATGATATATATGATTACTGGCATAACCACAGTTGATGACTTTAAAAAAAAAAAGTGACATTTTTTCATAACAATAGTAATGGATTTATAAAAGGTTTCTGTTTCCAAAGATGTTATTGGGGTCCACATATTCCTTGACAGACTTCAGCATCCCAAAGCCGACATCGGAGATACTTTCTTTTAGCCATTGCTTCCGTAACTTGCCCACTGAAAAAAAACAAAATAAAAAATGCTTCAATATACACCGTGATGCTGGGAACCAATCAATCTTGTGACCACGAATGAACAAACACTGTGTGATAAATGCTTTTATTCAAAAATGAGAAATGTTTTGCTTTATTTGATTTATTGAGCCCACCAGACTATCAAGCTCATTAAGCCCAATGTATTCCCAGAGGAGGCCTGTGCTCCACAGTGTCTCCTTTTTCTGTAAACTATGAAATGAAGATGAAGAAAGCTTGGACTGAAATTATGGCCCATTTTACAAATAACAAAATGAGAAAAACATGCATTTCAAAAGAACCAACCTCCTGTCTTAAAACCCAAAACAGCAAAAGTTTCAGAGAAAATGAAGTTAACTCAAGAAAAACATCATATTCAGATGAATCTGTTGGGTATATTATAGCAAAAATGACAGGCTACATATTTGTAAAATAGTTCAAGAAGAACAAAAGCTTTACAATTTTTAAGAAAATCTGAACCCTGGGTTTTAAGGAAAAATAATCTGGTTATGAAGCTTTTCTATTTGCATTTTATTTTCATATTAAATATGCATGTTTACTTTTTCCTATTGTTTTCCCCAAATTAGAGATTTTTTTTTTTTTTAGGTACTAAGTAAATCAAACACCTAACCCATTTTAAACTTAATCTTCTACTTTATGTACTGAATAATTTTCCCCTTCTTTGTTTTTGGTCTAATTTTTTTCTGAAAATAATGAAGTAATATAATGGCTAGCAGCATAAATCATCTTTTAAAAGGTACTCCATAAAAAAAACAACCTTCCTAAGTACAAATTTTATAAGAAAGGATTTGAACTAAATCTATAAAAGAACTCTGAAATGTCTATTTGCTTTGGCATTAAAAAGCAATCTGCTGACTTATCTATGGTGAAATGAATAAATCTTTTAATTTACGGATAGGACTATTTGTGGCTAGCACTTTTCAAATATATTATTATAATAACTGAATTCAAATGGTCATTTTCCAAAAATGTTCATTACTGATCCAAAGTCATCAACAGTGATTTAATTGGCCAACGGAAATGGGAAGCCTTTCTTCATTAAAGTATTCAGCCTGTCATTCTAAAACGCACTCCCATTTATCAGGCTGCAGTGACACACAATAGCATCTGCCTTTTGGAAACCTTAATGCCATTTCAAGCTCCATTCAAAGCATCTTTTGTGCCTAGTGCTCCAGGAAACCATCAAATTGTCATTAAAGTAACAAATAACATGATATCCTCAGAAAGCAAAATATTTCTACTTAGCTTCTACAAATAAAAAAGCATTGCTGGTGTTAAGATGGAGTGAATGGAGGTACAGAAGGGGGGGGGGGATCTTAAAATTCAAAAAAGAAAATTTTTGTTTAAAAGAGCTCTAACACTAGAAACCAAACAGTACAAATTCCTATTCATGTAATCTCTACTACCTAAAAGATGTTCTATTGGGTCCTCCCACTATCTCTCAAACGGACAACTTCAGCCTCAGTTTTCTCATCTGCAAAGAGATTAAAATCTATCGTCTTTTTTACCTCAAATGCCCTCTGATTTTAAGAACTTAAAAAAAGTTACAAATCAGTTATTTACAGACTTGCTCCAAGGGGGAAAAAAACAACAACTACTCTGTGAGTGGCAGAAGTAGCTTTATTATAAGCTCCCCACGCTGAGGCAGCTCAGCAGAGGGGTGAGAGCAGGCACTGCCAGTCTCCACTGTTATCTGTAATATAGTTTCACTGAATGTGTCCTGTGGTTATGGGTCTAATTGTCCTGAAAAGACTGCAAACAACTGCTCCAACAAGATGGAGCACATTAGAACCTCAGCAGGATGCCCAACAGCTAGCTTGTCTGCCTGGTTTTACACCTCTAGTAATAATGCAATTCCACAAGGAACTGAACCATCATTTGAGAAGCCACCCAACAGCCATTGCATATTTAATGAAGTCGCTCACTAAGCGCTGGAAAACAGAAGGTGCTTGGAGTGCATCATTAGTTCTGTCAGAAGGATAATTTACACATCTATCTTGTCAAATTTTCTATGGTTTATACTTTTACAATAATCAATCTAACATACATTTGATTAGTGGACTAGAAAGTTTATAAAAAGGCAGTACAGTCAGCATAGCTGTAGCCCCTCATAAACATATTTAATAAAAGAATTTAACCCCTTCATGGCAGAGGTCTGTGAGTGTCTTCTGTCAATGATAATAGAATTTGAACTGAGATCAGAAATCATGCCTTAGGCAATTAAAGGGACTAGGTATCTTTTTAGTTTTGCTTAACAATAAAGGCTACTGCAATGTAGGATTATGTGTCCAAAAAATTTAAGTAAAAATGTTCAATGATTCTTTGTAGTAAGATAATTACTGGAAATAGTCTTTAAAAAATTCTGGAGAACCTTCTCTGGTTGTCTCAGATTAATTAATAAATTAAAACAACAACAACAAAACACCAAAGGCCCTAATCCAAAAGAGGGATTATACTTCAAAGTACCAGAAGAATTTCATTTTACATCTAACCAACAATAATAATTATGCCATTTCTACAATCTTTATTTGTACTGCAAGGCATTTAGAAATTAGCTGACTATACTGATCTGAACACATGAAGACACTTGCACATAACTCTATAGTAGCTGCTTAAACATTTGTAGAGCTCATTTTCAGACACAGAAATGATATTCCGTCCTTTATGTAGCATGTCATATTGGAAGAAGAGATAATCTATGACATGCACTGACCACCAGGGGGCAGATGCTCAATGCATGAGTGGAAGCCACAAGCATGGAAACAGAACAGACTGATGAATCTCAGAGGTAAGGGTTAGGGGAGAGAGCGGGAAGAGTTTAACCAAAGATCTTACATGCATACTAGAGGCCCAGTGCACAGATTCGGCCTGGCCTGTGGGATTGGGCTGAAACTGGAAGTCCAGCATCACCTAAGGGGTCCCAGATTGCGAGAGGGTGCAGGCCAGGCTGAGGGACCCCACCAGTGCATAAATCTGTGCACCGGGCCTCTACTAGATTAATAAAAATAGCAAAAATAGGTCCTTCAGGACTGAAACATTCCTTGTATATATACTCATGAAAAGGCATGTGTACAGATGGAACTGGAGAACATTATGCTAAGCAAAATAAGCCAGTCAATGAAAGAAAAATACCACATGATCTCCCTCATATGTGGATAATAAAGAACATTATAAACTGATGAACATAAAGATAGATACAGAGGCAGTAAAGCATCAAACAGATTGTCAAATTACAGCGGGAAGGTTAAGGAGAGGTGGGGGAGATAAGAGATCAACCAAAGGACTTGTATGCATACATATAAGTATAACCAATGAACACAAAACACGGGGGGGGGCGGGGGGAGGAAGGTGAGGGCATGTATGAGAGTGGGGTGGGGGGCAATGGTAAGATATGTACACCTATATAATAAAAAAATGAGGGGGAAAAAACAAAGAAAAGGCATGGGTACATTCAGATCATATGAAGCTTAATGCTCTTTCCAGACCAGTATTATCTGATGTAGGATATTCACGACACTGACTCAATTATGTTCCTTTAACTTCTGATTTTCTAGAAGTATAAACCTAGCCTGAGAGTCAACACTGGAGCTACAGAAAGCCAATTCCACCACCTCTGTAAACAAGATAGGGACCCTGTATTCCACAGCTCATAATGATTCTAAATATATAATTCTCAAACTACTTAAGCCAGGTACTTAAGAGTCTTATAAGCATTTTTAAAGATATAAAAAACATAGGCCAGCCCAATACTAAACATTATAGAAAATAAATGGGGCAAATTCTTTATCTGCTTAAATTGAAAGTAGAGTTCACTTTTTTACAATTTAATTTCTGATAATGTACATATAGACTATATAAAACAAGTATTTTTTTTGTTCTTCCACAATATACAGTACATTTTAAAATACTTATTTTTTTGGAACAGAAAAGATGGAATTTTGGGGGATACTAAAATCAAAGGCTCAATAATCCTTTTTGAATGCTAACATTTCCAAGAAAAAATGCATTTTGTGGTATAATCAACAGCATAAAAGAATGAACAAATATATGTGTGTAAGGTGGGAGTGGGGTGGGTAGTGAAAGTGTTGTATGTTGCCAAGCCATCAAAAATTATCTAGAACTACTCTTTGTGTACTAAGGGCCTGAAGACTTAGCAGGAACTACTCTATAGTCCTATCTTAAAAGTGATGTTTCTTCAGAGGCACAAGTCTCAACCTGAAAAGAGGACTTAGTTGTCCATTTGTTAGTACAAGGCACATTTTGTGTGTTTGATTTTGGTGGAGGTACAAGCTGAATGTTAGCCAAATGAGAGAAGCTAACACCCAGCCTTTTAAGGTGTATGAAATGGGATTATGACTATTCATGAGTATAATGTTTAAGGATACCTAAAAGCCATGTCTGATAAGCTGACAAATTCATGAATATTATGTTAACAAAGCAATTAATATCTGATAATATTTTTCTCCTATTAAATATTTAAAACGTCAGCCCTGGTTGGAGCGTTGATTGGAGCATTGTCCCGATGCACCAGTTATCTATAGCCTATTTCTTCTTATTGCTGAGTATTCCATGGTACAGACATACCACTGGTTAGCCATTTACAGTAGTCTCCCCTTACCCTTGATATAAGACCCCCAATGGAAACATGAAACCATGGGTAGTAAGTACCAAATGTTATGCATACTATATTTTTCTCTATACCTACATCCTTTTGCATTTAAAGGAAACACTTTACGGCTTCCCTTTGGCATATCTGGATTGCCAGCATCACTACTCTTGCACTTTAGGGTCACTTTTAAGTAAAATAAGAGTTTCTTGAACACAAGCATTGCGATACCATGATAATCTATCTGAAAACTGAGGTGGGTAAGTGACTAATGGGCAGGTAGTGTATGTAGTGTGGATTCATATCCCAGCCACGATGAAGCATTATGCTACTCGGAAGAGCCTATCACATAGAACTTA